TGTTAACTGTGCAAAGTTTGGCGTTTGGCAGTTATGGTGTTCACGGACGGACAGACGGACACCATCAACTTCCTTATAAAGCTTATATAGCTTTCCTCTGCCGCTTAATAGTCTACAAATATAGCATATTAACTTTTAAAAAATATAATACACTAAGGATGATTCAAAAAGGGCTAAAAAAAGATTAAAAAAAGGTCAAACGATTTGATAAATACAACAAAATTTCAAAAAATTTTGAATCTTTCGGTTTTTTAAATCTTTTGAATCTATTTGAAATCAATATGGAATTTTTGTAGTGTTATATTTTGGAAAATAGATTCTTAATATGTTACTTTTTTATTAAAATGTTTCAATTTAAAAATGGACGTAGGAAATTCAAAAAATTGTAAATCTCAGAATGAACCTATATTTATTAAAGGAGACATAGAAAGATTTTTCTTACAAGTTTCTTTATAAGACTGTTGAATAATGTGCCGTTTTAAAATAAGTGTACGGGATCAGGTAAAAAAGTTATAGAACCTAACCCGAGACCTAACGTCATTTTTTTTAGTGGGATGCTCTGTAAATTTCATTCGAAAAAGAGCATATTAAATTCACTTTCTAGAAATATAACGCTAAAGAAATTTAAAAAGTGCAATATTAGATTTTTCAAAAAATTTCAAAATGCTTAATTTTTTGTTGTTTTTTAATATTTGAACCTTTCTTAAATGTTTTAATTCTTTTTTAATAATTTTGAATTTTTTGTTTTCCCTATCTATTGCGATTGCGTTATATAAAAAAGAAAATGTTAATACGCTATCTTTTTAGATTAAAACATACAGGGTGTTCTATTTAAAAAATGAGGTTAAGTCCAGTAACTTTTTTGCAGACATCGTATATGTAACCTATTTTGAAAACGATAGATTACCCAGCAAGTAATTTTGTAATAAACATTTTTTCGTGTCTCTTTTCACTCTGATATTGACAATTTTTGATTTTCCCTTGTATCTCTGTAAGCGAGCCAATGTTTTCAAATTTTGATTGTGCCATTTTTTAACATTGGCCCAAAAAGAGCACATGTCACTTAGTTTGTCTTTCGGTATGTGTTTTTTGAGTGGGCCATCCCCTATTAGATTTATCGGATTGTATAGAACTTGTTCCATTGAAATACTCTTCTTTTTAGCACATTTCCACAAAAATAAAAAAATTTACTATTGTGGCAACTTTGCCCGTCCGTCCCTAGTTTTTCTACTTTTTTCGCTATTGGTTCGTTATGCTGTCAAGGTTTGCACCAAGGAAGGAATTTTTTCTGTGTCGCTTGCGAAAAAAGTTATGGTAAAAAACCCATTTTTTTGAGATTGTATTGTATTGCTGTCTGTCAGTATATCTGTCTGTCTGTTTGTCCGTCCGTGTGCACGATAGCTTTTGTATTTGTGCAATCCATTTTTTATTTGTTAAATACTTAAATGAAACTTTTTATGTAGGCTGTAGATGTAGATGGCGACTCGACTGAAGTGAAACTAGTCAAACAATATGTTGGGCTCATGCGCAATCGGATTTTTTTTATTTGTTAAGTTATTTAAATCAAATTTTGTATGTAGGCATCTCGAATAAAGATGAAACTAATGCCAAATCAAATAATTTCTTTTGCGCATGCCCAGAAATACCCTGAAATTTTAGGGTAGGGTTCTTTTTATAAACTGAAATTGAAGCAGCAAGTCAAAAATGGATTGCACATGTACAACGCTAACTTTCTTATTTGTAGCCGGATTTTTACGAAATTTTAAGTTTAAGTTTGCTTGCTTGCATCTTACAGTATGGGAAATGAATGCAATTGTAATACGCCGGGTAATTCGCTTTTTATAAATCGTTTACGACGAGGTTTACGATTACCTTTTTAATTTCTTATTTGTGTGTTTAAAAGTACCTGTTACCAACTAAGAATTCCCTAATAGCCAACATAAATGAATATGTTTCTTGCTTACGTAATGCCCGTGTATAGCAACTTGAGCAGCTACCAGAAATCTTTGTCAGTCACCCACAATCACCTGCAATCATTTACAATCGTCTGCAATCATTCATAATCACATGCAATCCTCTAAAATCGACAACCGCATCGCAATCGCAGGATTGTGGTCGCAATCGCAGCAATCGTAGGGAAATCATGGGGATTGTCGCAATACTGTCACAAAATTTGAGAAGATGTTACCCCCTCGTTGTTCCCATTTACGTTTCATTCTAAGTTTTTTGTTCTGGGTATTTAGTGACAAAAATGACCTTGCGCGATGTCTCTCTCGGCGCGGTATGTCTCTATGGCGCGTTCCAGTATAAGTATAGTTCTGTGCTTGTCACGGATATGCGTTTTTGAAATTTTTACTGGTGAAGGGCAGAGGATGTCCCCGTGTTCGCCACTCACTTTCTTATGAGGGTCTAGAACAAGAGGGACAATAAATAAAAATAAAATAAAATAAACGAATAAAATTTACATTTGTGTTTTGTTTTTCCACAATTTCAGGTTTTTAATTGCATGCTGCGAAACCTATTCGAAGAGTACCGTTTCTTTCCGCAATACCCGGACAAGGAGCTCCACATAACGGCCCAACTTTTCGGCGGAATAATCGAACGCGGTCTCGTATCGAACTACATGGCGCTGGGACTCGCGCTGCGTTGCGTTTTGGACGCGCTGAGGAAGCAGGAGGGCTCGAAGATGTACCACTTTGGCGTCGCGGCGCTAGATCGGTTCAAGTCGCGACTGAAAGACTATCACAAATATTGCGAACACGTGCGGGCCATACCGCACTTTAACGAATTTCCGCCGCATCTCATCGATTACATCGAGTACGGATTGCAGAGTCTCGAGCCGCCAAATAAACCGCAGGGTACGGTTTTGCCGCCGAATTTGTCCTCGATTTTGGGGCCCTCGTATAAAAACAGTTCGTCCACGACCAGCAAGTCGAGCACAATTAGTAGTCGACCGTCGATCGCCAACGCGACAAACATCGACACTTTGCTGGTAGCTACGGAAAAAGAAGAAAAGGTGATTTCCCCCCCGGAAAGTCTCCAAGAAAAAACCTTCTTCATCTTCAACAATCTTAGCCAATTAAATTTGCAATCGAAGTGCGACGAGCTGCGCGAATTAGTCTCGGACGAATATTGGCCTTGGATATCTCAGTACCTGGTTTTGAAACGTGCTTCCATCGAACTAAACTTCCACGCTTTGTACTCGAATTTTTTAGACACCCTGAAAGTCGGCGACGTATTCAGAATGGTCACCCGGGAGACCTTTCGTAATATAAAGGTCCTCCTCAAATCCGACAAGGGAATTGCGAATTTTTCCGATCGATCCCTCTTAAAAAATCTCGGCCATTGGCTGGGAATGTTAACTTTGGGACGTAACAAACCGATTCTGCAAATCGATATCGACATAAAAGCGTTGATCATAGAAGCCTATCATAAGGGAAGCCAGGAATTGCTGTACGTCGTTCCGTTCGTCGCGAAAATTCTGGAGTCGTGCGCGAAAAGTAAAGTATTTAAACCGCCGAATCCCTGGACGATGGGAATCATGAACGTTCTGGCGGAATTGCATCAGGAGCCCGATTTAAAATTGAATCTCAAATTTGAGATCGAGGTCCTGTGTAAAACTCTGGAGATTGATTTCGCGCAACTAAAGCCGGCCATTTACTTAAAGGACACCGAAAGATTGCGAAAGATAGAATATCAGTTGTCGCAACAGTCGAAAAATACCGAATCGATCCTGAGCTCTTCGCAACCGAGTATCGTATCGAACACCGATTCGGAGCTGGTTTCCGTTTCGACGCAGGGATCCTCGTCGCCGCCGCTCACACAGAATAGCAGCTCGACGCCGACGTCGTCGCTTGTCGCCCCGCCGGAACCGAGGTTCAGTTATCTCGACATACAATTGGCCGGTAACGCGGCGCTTCACGCGCATCTTACCGTTTCGCCCGCCATTTTGATATTTCAAAATCAGCCTCCGTTGAAGAGCCTAGTTCGAAGCGCGGTCGAACGCGCCGTGCAAGAGTGGATCAATCCGGTCGTGGATAGGGCGGTAAAAATCGCGCTGACGACGTGCGAGCAACTAATTCGGAAGGATTACGCCTTGGACGGCGACGAAAATCGACTTCGAAACGCCGCCCACTACTTGGTCCGATACCTGACCGCCGGAATGGTGATGATCACGTGTCGAGATCAGCTGTTGGGCTCGATTAATACTCACATGAAGAACGCGCTTCAGAACGCGATCGTCGGCGCGACCATACAGCAAAAGGAGATGATCGAGCAGGCGGCGAGCGTGGTCGCGCAAGATAACATGGAGCTCGCGTGCGCGTTTATACAGAAGACCGCGATCGAGAAGGCCATACCCGAAATTGACAAGCGCCTGATGAACGATTACGAGGTTAGGAAGATCGCGCGCCAGGAGGGAAGGTAAGTTTGATTAATTTCCACTTTCTCCGCTTGAGAATTTAATGCGATTTTTTATTTCATTCCATGCCAAATTTTATCTTTTCTAAATTTGACAGTTTTAAAACTAAGCCAGCCGAGAAACAACTCTGTCACTCGAAACCAAAAATCGAAATGTCAAGTAACAAACCGGTCTGGTGGTCTACGTTGTAGTGAAACGATTTGCTCGGTTGTGCCATCATAAATAAAACCCAAGAAACAGAGTTTGAAATTTAATTTAAAAAAAAAACGAGAGTAGCTCTAGGGACGTCTATGATTACAAGGAAGGGAAAAGAGCTATTGAAAACCTCTCTCACTTCTTTTCCAATTTGCATCATACAATTTTACATTACAATAGTTTTGACTCGGTTTCCAACCTGTACGACAACACCACAATTGGGAATTCCATTTCCCTCTTAATCATCATCTTTCATGGAAATGAAATTATGTACTAAGACTGTTATGTAACGGAGCCCAACATTCACACCGAGAGCTGAAACTAGTCTCCTAACATCTTATCAGTTCAAGGTCAGACATTATAAATGAATTCGTAAAGCGGCTTTGAGTGGTTCATAAACGCGCTAATTCAGCTACGCAATTTAGTGATCTGTCCTACATAACAGGGGGCGCTGAATGAAAATTTTCCCTAAAGTTACTAGATATAGAAAGTACCGCAATCATCCGCCATTTTTGGGCAAATTTGCTGCCAACTTAAAAAATTGACAAATAAAATCTGAACAGCTGTCATTTTTTATAACCTAACTTCATAGTACTGTCATGTTTTATAAAAATATATACAGATATCTCTAAACAGGTGGAACAATCCCTAACATTAAAGTTACTAGAATCTGGTAACTTCCCCCTTTTTTGGGGCAAAAATCATATGTTCTCTCTCTAACACACGAGCCCAATGGATTGCGGTACTTTCTATATTTAGTGACTTTAATTTTCCCTAAAGTCACTAGATATAAAGACTTTAATTTTCCCTAAAGTCACTAGATATAGAAAGTACCGCAATCATCCGCCATTTTTGGGCAAATTTGCTGCCAACTTAAAAAAATTGACAAATAAAATCTGAACAGCTGTCATTTTTTATAACCTAACTTCATAGTACTGTCATGTTTTATAAAAATATATACAGATATCTCCAAACAGGTGGAACAATCCCTAACATTAAAGTTACTAGAATCTGGTAATTTCCGACTTCCGCCATTTTGGGGCAAAAATCATGCGTTCTCTCTCTCTAACACACGAGCCCAATGGATTGCGGTACTTTCTATATTTAGTGACTTTAATTTTCCCTAAAGTCCCTAGATATAGAAAGTACCGCAATCATCCGCCATTTTTGGGCAAATTTGCTGTCAACTTAAAAAAATTGACAAATAAAATCTGAATAGCTGTAATTTTTTTATAACCTAACTTCATAGTATTGTCATGTTTTATAAAAATATATACAGATATCTCCAAACAGGTGGAGCAATCCCTAACATTAAAGTTACTAGAATCTGGTAACTTCCGCCATTTTGGGGCAAAAATCATGCGTTCTCTCTCTCTAACACACGAGCCCAATGGATTGCGGTACTTTCTATATTTAGTGACTTTAATTTTCCCTACAGTCACTAGATATAAAGACTTTAATTTTCCCTAAAGTCCCTAGATATAGAAAGTACCGCAATCATCCGCCATTTTTGGGCAAAAATCGAAATCGAAAAATAGAATTTGTACTAGTAACGCCGCCGTTGGGTATATTTGAATTTGCTACATTCTGCTAGTGCTTAACGCGGGTCGACTTTAGAATTGTGTGGGGGGGGGGGGGGAACACTTGTGGCTTAGATGATAATTGTGCCATTACATTTTAGGCGCTACTGCGATTCGATGGCGTTAACTTATCAAGCCGACCGAATGCCCGAAGCGATTCGGCTGCGAGTCGGAGGCGTAACGCCCCAACAGTTGGCCGTGTACGAGGAGTTCGCGCACAACATACCGGGGTTTCTGCCCCTATCCGATAGAGACACGGCGCCTTTCATTCACAAACCGACGGTCAATTTGGAGCCGCAAGGTCCGACCAATGTGTTCCAGACATCTCAGTCGATCATTCCGTCCGACGAAACGAGTACGGTGTACGATAAGCTGCTAGGCGAAGTGGAGCAGTTCATTCAGGCCACCGGCAATCAGCCCAGCTTTAGCATAATGAATAATAACATGCACATACTGCGAGACTGTCTAATGCACGCCATGCGCAATCGAGATATGATTCTATCGGCGATGACTCTCACCCAAAAAGTAAGTGGAGAGGGGTGCTTAGTTTCCGAAAATCAAAATCTTGCTTTTAGTGTGTGGAGGGCTTACAAGATGGTTTAATGTCGGTAGCGAACGATCCCGATCATGTCCTACACCGATACAAGGAGATTTACGTACGCGTGTTAAAGACAATGCAAGATCCTCGAGCTTTTGGCCAGCAATGGACGAACAAGCAGGTTACCCGCTTCCTTACCGAATGCCGCGACGATCTGCGCTACAACTTGGACGCCGTCGATACCCTCATTCGCGCCGGCTTGGTCAATCTGCCCCAGTACGACGTCGCGCTCACCCAACTGATGGACAACGGCCTCAATTACGTCGCCGTCAACTTCGCCACCCAGTTAATTCCTTTATTTCTCATCGAGGAGCGTACGAACCAGAACGTTACCGAGAATGATCTGCCGAACACAATCGAAATGCTAGTCAAACTTGCCACGCACACCAGACAGCCGCCCGAGGGATTGGCGAACGTCATTGAATTGCTACGGCAGCACCACGATCAGACGACGTTTTTCGGGGATCGTGCGCCCCACGGTCCTTCGATACACATTCACAATGGCATCTTACAGGTAGGAGATTGTTCGGTTGCGTGCCACGTTGAGCTTTTACAGAGAGTTGCCCTTTGATGATCATTGAAATTAAAAATCACTCAATAAATTGAACACCCTGTCCCCCTCTTTCTTCCAGGTTACAGTCGCGGAACATGGGCGGCGGCAGACTTTTTTGTTTGAATTTGAAAGACAGTTTCAAATCAGTGGAGAAATTTTTTTTGAGAAAATTAACCATTTCTGTCGGAATGTCGAAAAAAAGCTCTCAAGCGGCGATATGTGAAACTAACAAAAAACTTCAAATATTATAATATTTGTAGCCGAAGAATCTTTTCAATTAACCCAAGTTTGTTAAAATCGGCTCTGCCGTTTCGAAGATATAGGGTGTTCTTTACGGAAACCTTTGTATACCCCCCACCACTTCATTTTTAGAGATACAGGAAAAATTGTCAAACAAAAAAGGTTCAGATTATCGTCGTCTTCAAAGATCGGAAATTTTTTGTTAGGTTAATGTAGCGGAATTCACAGAAACGTCACTTTTTTAGATTTCAGATTGCAGTTACGCCCTCTAGCGGCCATTTCAGAAACTTAAAAATATTTTTTGTTAGGTTAATGTAGCGGAATTCACAGAAATATCACTTTTTTAGATTCCAGATTGCAGTTACGCCCCCTGCCATTTCAGAAACTTAAAAATATTTTCCAGGTTTTTCTCGTGGCCGTTTTAGTAATAACTTTTTTTACCGCAAGCCTCTACGATGGACAGGTTCCCAGATACAGTACCTCGCATTCTTATTTGGCCACCCTGTACACGGTATAGGAAAGGTGGAGGAACGAACTTCGACACCCTTTGTCTTTCAGTCTTTTTGTAGGCTATTTTTAAGAAAGTCTTCCAGTGCATTTAGGGACCTGAGATATCGAACGCTTCCAGAGCGCTCCCTTGCGCGCTGGTGTTCAAGAGCCTTGCCCCTTTGCAGAACTGTTTCTGTTGTTTCCACAGCTTCCTAGGCCCTTTTCTGAGCGTTTTTGTTTTAGAGACATTGCCCAGAGTCACTTTGTCATTTCTCGAGAATCTTTAAAGTCTTTTTAAAAAACTCGCCAGATGGCTATAAGCGTTTGAGGGGTGTCTTTCAAGCAAACAAGGTTTTGTCCAGTTTCAACGATCGCAAAGGTTGCAGGATGCTTTGATATCTCCATTTTGGCTCAACGTGCGCGATAACTCTTGCGTTCCCGCACGCTTTTAAACAGCTTTTATACAGATTGACCACGGATTTTAACCTGGTATCAATCACGCCCACAATATTTGATAACGCCGAGTCACTATCCGAGACGAATTACGTCGCGGATGTTGGAGATACCTCAACATTACCCCTTACTTTGTAAAGATTCGCAATAAATGATTTTGTTTAGCTGCCGCTCATTCATTTGATTGCTTAAACTTGAGCTTTAAAATGTACACCGCGCTTCCTATTTTGGTTGAGACTGCAGTGCAACTCGGCTGTTTGTTTTGCGACCTTGTATTAATACCACAAACAGAATCGATGTAGCTAGGTGCGTTCGTTGCGATACAGGATGAAAACGAAAAGATGTACAACAGAAAAAAGATTTAGATATTTTTACATAGAATCCAGTGGCATAGTCACAATTTTGGTATTTTTTAAATGCAACACCCTGTATATCTGAACGTCAATTTTTTACATTCTTTCTCCTGATTACGTTGATGTATCACGACATTTCTTTTTAATTTAAGCCACGAACCAAAAAGTTTATTTTTACAGTTTAAAGTAGTAAGCCGTGGATTCATGGAGAATTTGTTTTGGTTATTGTATCTATGGTAACTAACGCAGCTGACATCTATCAATAAAAATGGCCGACAGTAAAAACATGCCATTTTAAAAATTGAAAAATATACACTGTGTCCATTTTTCTAGTGCCACTATGGGGATCTCACTTATCTTAAGAGATAGAAAGTTGGTTAAATGGGGGCAAAGTTGCCAATTTTCGTGGCGAATAAGAATCTGAAAAGAAATTTGAAGTATCTTCAATACTTTTTAAAATATCGCAAAAAAAGAAATTTTCGTTTTTAATTTTTTTATGATAATTTAATCGTAGTAGACATTTCTAATTATTAACACATTATTCGGACACTTTTTAATGGAGATTTCAAATATGGCATCCTGTTTTTAATAACTTTCAAGATGACGGAGAAACACGTGGCAACTTTAGTTTTTCTTATGGGCGCCATTTTGAATTTTCAAATTTTGAGATAACGTCTTTTTTTCTCTTTACAACGATATATCACACATGGTGGTTCAGTATCACATTTTTCCTAAAAATACAGTTTTTAATTATTTGAGAAGAGTGCTTTGGAAAAAGAAAACGTTCTTTTGTTGTGAACAAAAGGTTGACTTATTTCATGTAGGGCCATTTAGGTTTATGCTAGTTGTATGCAAAAATGCCTTTTTCAAGTGCAGATCAAACAGATATGATCCAAATTTACTACACTTCTCATCGAAATGCCCACATGGCTGCTGCAACATACTTCCAGCGTTATCCAGAGCGGCAACAATCTAGTTTGAGGTATTTTTATTTACTGCATAAAAACTTGGGCGAATATGGTTCTTTTAAAAGATGTAGACAGTAATGTGGTGATAGACCCAATGAATAGGAGCAGGCAATTTTGCAAGCGGTAAAAATTTTGAAATTTGACAATGAACATTACTGGTCAATTGAAAATTCTCATCAATTTCAAGAACGACGACCACAAATACGTTTTAGCGTTAACGTATGGGTCGGTTTATTGGGCGATACAATAATTGGTCCTTAGGAGACTCTCTAAATACTGATCGGTACCTCCATTTCCTGAGGACATTTCTAACCGATTTTATTGACAATAACGTTCCTCTTCATCGTTTGAACTCGATATGGTTCCAGCAAGATGGCGCACCGCCCCATAATGCTAGGAAGGTTGGGGAATGCTTATCGGAGTTGTTCCCCAATCATGTTATTGCTAATAATGGCGACGTACGCTGGCCGACGCGGTCACCTGACCTGTCTCCCTTGGAATATTTTTTGTGGGGAACAATGAAAAATGAAATTTACAAAACGACCTTGTTGAACTTCGTCATTTGTTCACAACAAATGAACGTTTTGTTTTTCCAAAGCACTCTTCTAAAAAAATTAAAAATTGTATATTTAGGAAAAATGTGATACTAAACCACCATGTGAAAATTCAAAATGGCGCCCATAAGAAAGACTAAAGTTTCCACGTGTTTCTCCGTCATCTTGAAAGTTATTAAAAACAGGATGCCATATTTGAAATCTCCATTAAAAAGTGTCCGAATAATGTGTTAATTAGAAATGTCTACTACGATTAGTTTATCATAAAAAAATTAAAAACGAAAATCAGAAATTTTCGTTTTTTTGCAATATCTTCAAAACTATTGGAGATATGTATGTATTTCAAAGTTCTTTTCAGATTCTTATTCGGCACGAAAATTGGCAACTTTGCCCCCATTTAACCAACGTTCTATCTCTTAAGATAAGTGAGATCCCAACAGTGGCACTCGAAAAATGGACACAGTGTATAACTTACAGGGTGTTCCTAAATATGATGTAAATGTGGAAGGGGCTAATTCTTTGGTATTTTATGACTAAAAGTTCATATAAACATAGGTCCACAAACGCTTCGATCTACAGGGTGTTATAGTTCTACCGGGGTCCGTGAAGTTAGCAGAACATTGACGGTACAAATGTCAAGACTAGATGGATTGGTTAGTGCTTCGTTTGTGCCGTAAAAAGTTTACTTCGATTTTTAGAGGTTTTGCTAATAGGCCAGTCATTGAGGATTTTTACCTGGAAATAACTGGGGAAGTACTAAAATTGTGTATGCTTGAGTGTGTAGAACTAATTTCATAAAATGCACAATTCGTAACCTGCCGCCGGGGCCGCCATCTTGCCAAGATGGCCGTCAGAAGCGGTTTTCCGCCGATATCTCCAAAACTCCTCATTTTACGAGAAAATATGGGACGAAAAAATTGCACAAGACCGAAAAGTTTCAAAACAAACCAGAAAATTAAATTCTTGTTTCACCATCTACCAGTGGCGCACCAAAAAAAAGTTCAGGAGTGGAAAATCCCCACAGAAATTTCGACCAAGTTCAGGAGTAGAAAATTTCGACTCCCCCGCTCCCCTGGCACGATTTTATGAAAAATTCCAAATAACGCGTCCCCGCGATGGAACGTTTTGGAATAATTGGCGGAAAAGTACCTACGAAACGTCATCCGCGCTTCCTCCACGTCAAACCACGGAGCGCGAACTAGGAGCATTCGGTTTTGGATCCCAAGGGCGTCAGTGGCGTGGTCCAAAGTTTTTCGAGCACTAAGCGGGAAGCCGTCGGTGTTTCCCACGTTAATTCAATTAGCGCTTAAAAACGTCTGTTTAAAAAATGTGCTTTATTTGCACGTGCAAAATTTGTACTTGTGTCCTATGTGCAATTTTTTTAGCTAAATGTAAAATAATTTTTAAAATCGTCTAGTAGGCCTGGATGACATCATGTTTTTATTAGTTTTAAGAGTTGGCTTTGAAAATTGTATCTTGTGTTTGCATATGTTTCTAAATTAAAAGTTTCAATTGTAAAATTTGAAACTGTAACACCCTGTAGGTAGGTGACAAGGCATTCGAAGAACGATCTGTATATGCATGAAATAAATCAAAGAATTAACCCCTTCTGTATTCATATTATCTTTAGGAACACTCTGTATATTATTATAATAACGATTAGAGAATATGTTTCAATTTATCAACATTCTAGAACTCTAAAATTGTCATACTTAACAATTGTAGGTACGTTCTCTGAACTACGAGGATCCGCCCGGTTTAATGGAAAAGACCGACTTCCTCCTTCGCGACTGGATAGGAATCTATCACTCTCAGCCTTCCGGTCGCGACTCGACGAAGGCGTTCAGTATGTTCGTGCACCAGATGAACGTGCACGGAATATTAAAAACCGACGACCTAATAACGCGCTTCTTTCGACTCTCGACCCAGTTGTGCGTCGAGGCGGTTTACAGGAACGTAACCGAGGGAAGCGCGAGCAATCAGACCGTGCTGAGAACGAAATGCTATCACACTTTGGATCCGTTCGTTCGTCTGATCGCGTTACTGGTGAAACACTCGGGGGACGCGAGCAATGCGACTACGAAAATTCATTTGCTTAACAAGGTCTTGGGAATCGTCGCCGGGTGCCTGCTGCAAGATCACGAGCAGCGCGCCGGCGATTTCCAGCAGCTGCCCTATCACAGAATCTTCATAATGCTCTTCTTGGAATTGTGCTCGCCCGAGCCAGTTTTGGAGACGATCAACTATCAGGTCTTGACCGCTTACTGCCATACTCTGCACATTTTAAGGCCCTCGAAGGCGGCCGGCTTCTGCTACGCCTGGCTGGAACTGATATCGCATCGGGTCTTCATCGGTAGAATGTTGGCGATTACTCCGCAGCAAAAGGGGTGGAGCATGTACGCTCAGCTTTTAATCGACTTATTCAAATACCTCGCGCCGTTTTTGAGAAACGCAGAGTTGGCGAAACCGGTTACGATGCTGTACAAGGGAACGCTCCGAGTCCTACTGGTGCTACTCCACGACTTTCCCGAATTTTTATGCGACTACCACTACGGATTTTGCGACGTTATTCCGCCGAACTGCATACAGATGCGAAACTTGATTCTATCCGCGTTCCCGCGCAACATGCGGCTACCGGATCCGTTCACGCCAAATCTGAAGGTGGACGTTCTACAGGAAATTACGTACTCGCCTCGGGTAATCACAAATTTCGCCACGCTAATAACGCCGCTTCAGTTCAAGAAAGATTTGGACTCGTACTTGAAGCAACGGGCACCGGTTACGTTCCTGTCGGAACTAAGAAGTAACTTGCAGGTCTCGAATGAGCCGGGAATGCGTTACAACATTCCGTTAATGAACGCGCTAGTCATGTATGTCGGCACTCAAGCGATTGGCTACATACGAAACAAAAGTTTGACACCAAACATGTCGACGATCGCTCACAGTGCACATATGGATATCTTCCAGAACTTAACCGTCGATTTGGATACGGAAGGAAGGTATCTCTTCCTAAATGCGGTCGCGAATCAATTACGCTACCCCAACAGTCACACCCATTACTTTTCGTGCACGTTACTGTACTTATTTGCCGAAGCCAACACCGAGGCTATACAGGAACAGATAACGAGAGTTTTGTTAGAGAGACTAATCGTAAATCGGCCCCATCCCTGGGGACTGCTAATTACGTTCATCGAGTTAATCAAAAATCCGAGCTATAAATTCTGGAATCACGAATTTGTACATTGCGCGCCCGAAATCGAAAAGTAAGTAAACGTTTTGCCACATCCTCCTGACCTCAATTCGTTCGTTGCAGGTTATTCGAATCTGTAGCTCGGTCCTGTATGGTTCAAAAGACAACCGTTCAAGCACAAGAAGGTGATGTTCAAGAGTGATATGTTTTAGTGATTTGTAAATAATTCAGGAAAAGTTCTATTGTTTTGTTTGCCTTTTACGGTACAATTTTTGAAACTCTTTAGTTATAGAGATAAGGATAGTGTATAGAGGTAGTGATATTGTAATATATTTGCAAATCAAGTATTTTTAAGAGAATTTTCATGTATTTGTAATTATATAAATACGATTGATGTAATTAAATGGTTTAAATGTTTTGAGCATATTACAAGTCTTGTTTCTTTGTGAATCACTATTTAGATAAGTTTAAGAACAAATAACTAGTCACGTTTTTATTACTTTATTAACTTACACTGACTTATTCCAGTAACGGTCGTATTTTTCCGAAATACCCTGTTGAACATCGCTTTGTGATACGTGAGTTACAAAACCGTAAGGGAACATGAGACACGTCCACCGCTCATGCGCATTATCAGTTGTCAAAAGTATCAAAGAAAACAGTGAATTGTTGAAGGATGGCCGTGTACATAATTTTTTAAAAAGGTAAAATCAATTACCTTTTCCAATTAAACATTCCCTTAAATCCTCTAATCATTCGTATCTTTTTCTGCTACAAATCTCTGGATTTCCCCAAAATTTAAATCTTGAGGTTTTGTCTTGTTTTTATTTTATACTTTTATAATTTTGATCCTGCAATTTTGAAAAGCTAGTCACCTCGCGACTTTCAATTTTTTCCGAAACACGCCGTCCGCCCTTCGGCTGCGAAGGGGGCGTTAAATGTTTTTGGTTATGTTCTGCATGTGCATTTCGTTAAGATTAATCCGCATCTTTACAGAGCGCAGCGAACTAGAATGGCAGAATCATGTCCCCTAGATAACGATAGCTATAATAGAGAATCGGACATTTCGAAACAAGACTGCACCAGTCCAAGTCCCACGGAAACGATTTGTTTGGAGTCGCTCTGTAGTGATAACATACCGGGTACGTTTAGACGCGCTTCCTCTCGCCCCCTTAACGAAATGTTGTTTAGGTACGTCTCAGCTTTTAATTAAAGAGGACGTCGCGGACAGAGAGGAGAAGGCCACATTCCTTAACGAGTTAGGTTTAGGCGAATGCGACGAGAACAGTAACGATAATGTCGACTGTTGGGAGGACTGCCTCGACGCCGACTACATGGAGGAACATCCGTTCGAGTCCGAGTTAGCGGACGAGGTTTGAGCGCTTTCCGTTTACCTTCGTTTTTTGCTAATTGGGTACTTATAGGACGATCCGGTTAATAGAGAGGATACGTTTGAGGCTTTCTCGATTACGCATAATAATATTCGGGTGGACTCGCTCAAAACGTACTCTAATAAGTCTTGGGTTTGTATTTTACCGTTTAAAACGGGTTATGCGCATGTTTAGATTAGGAATGTCGCGGGGCTCCTTTTTGCAAATACTTGGGATTGACCAGTGTGATAATAATAAAGAACTTTATTAGGCAAATAGACAAAATCAATACAGTAAAATGTTAATAACTAAATGTAATTTTAAAGGACATTTATAATGAGGGTTTAGTATCCATTGGACATCTATCCTTCTAAATAAAAGCCATTAAGGTTAATTGTTTTAAAACAAAAGGTAACAAAACTAATCATTGTAAATAAACAGGTAATAAAACAATTATTTTATGCTATGAACAGTAAGATCAAGTAATCATTTTGAATAAAATCGTGTAAAACAAATGGTATCAGGCAATTGTTTTAACCGCTAACAAGTTTTCTATACTGCATTCATTATAAGAAGGTAGTAGATGGCGCTGTGTTTGAAAATAAGCGCACAGGAAAAATATAAAACAGCACCAAATTATTGTAAAGTATAAATATCCAGCACTGCAAACAGAATCTTTGACATTAACAGTTAATGACACTTCAACAGTTTAGGTGGCAACAGAAACTACTAGCTTGCAAAATTCGCCACTGTTTTTTGCGTAATAATGACCTGTGTTTTAACCAATCACACTCAATCTCAAAGTGAATACAGTATAGTACATTTACTAGATTTTGTTAAAGAGCGAATGAAATTTGAGGATCACCATTGACAATTTCTGAACAATTTCAATAATGTTTTATTTATTTAAGTCAGAAATGAATGGTTAACCGCCCCTATAACCTGATGCCCTCGATATCTTACTACCCATGTAAAAGCAAAGAATACTTAATAAATTACTCTTTGGTAAAAGGTAAAAACTACCTGTTCTAGATATTTTATATAGAATCCAGTGGTGTAGTTAAAGAAATTGTTGATCCATTGAGATTTGATCCAATATTGGTATTTTTTTAAATACATCACCCCGTATATCTTATTGTCAATTGTTTTGGATTAAATTTTATCCGTGGACTAAAAATAAAAAAACCTTATTTTTTACGGTTTTTAAATAGTAGGTGATGGATTCATTGAGATTTTGTTTTGTTTTTTTTATCCATGGTAAATAAAGCGGCCAATATCAGTCAATCAAAATGGGTGGATTTTGCAAAATTTCGGTGTTTTCCGGATATCACCGAGAGTAGTCGGAATTTTTTAAGTTTCAAAACTGCATTTTGTTAAGCATCAAAGTACGCAACTTTGCCAAATTTAAACTACCTATCTCACAGTTCCCGAGGTCCCCATAGTGGCCCTCGAATTTGAATCGGCCTGTATAAATAAAATAGATAGTGATACATCAATAAGGATAGTACCAAGAATGCAAAAAATTAACGAGTGTTTTGCATTTAAAAAATATCAACATTGTATTAAACCTCAATAGAAATTGTACTAGTCTATTTCCGCGTGTAGGTGTAACAAACCTAACCTAATTTTTGACTCATCTACGTAAATAATTAAAGGCGGAAGAGGGGGAGGGCACTTTCACTGTCGAGGTGTACATACCACCATAAGTCGTACATACGAGGGTATTTGCACCTGAATAGAAATCGTACTAGTCTATTTCCGTCTGTACGTGTGACAAACTTAACCTAATGTTTGACTCATCTACGTAAATAATTACAAAGCGGAAGGGGGGGAGGGCACTTTATGTCCTCACAGTATACTAGTACTGACGCTGCTCCATCCAAGGACGAGATTTGACCTTTGCAATAAAACTAGAAGGCCTAGACAACATTTTATAGCGTTTGTTTACAAGATGGCGACGATGTTTCAATTTTTGTAAACAAAAAATGTAGGGGGCGCATGACAAATACGTAACGTGGTAACTTGATTCTCTTAAATGAGGTTTTAGCAAATACCTTAATATATTAATACAGGAAACTGACCCGGTCGCAAATTACAGCGCCACGACGTTGCGGTAGGAAGTGTCAACAGTAAGCTGTCATACTTGGTTTAAACTTTAGTGATGGTTTTAGTGCTTTGTGTTAGTTCTTGTTATGGTTAAATTGATAATGTTGAGGTATAGTTATATCACATATCTTAGATATTAAATAACCTTGCTCCTTAATTTTTCGTCATTCAACACCGGGCCGTGTAGATGTCGCTCTTTTCGATGTTTCGCTTTATTCATTGAGAAAGTACCGCAATCATCCGCCATTTTTGGGCAAATTTGCTGCCAACTTAAAAAAATTGACAAATAAAGTCTGAATAGCTGTAATTTTTTTATAACCTAACTTCATAGTACTGTCATGTTTTATAAAAATATATACAGATATCTCCGAACAGTTGGAACAATCCCTAACATTAAAGTTACTAGAATCTGGTAACTTCCGCCATTTTTGGGCAAAAATCATGCGTTCTCTCTCTAACACACGAGCCCAATTGATTGATGGATTAGTATATTAAGGTATTTGGTTTTAATTAGAGAAGAGTATTTCCAAAAAGGTACCCGACTGTCCAATTTTACCGGGTATGCAGAACCCGCGAAAATTGGCACTAGCGGCATCTGTAGTTTGGATGATGAAACTTAAGTGTTTAAAAGCAGTATCTGACTAGCTAATGATAACGTTATAATCTTCTCTCTGATCCTGTTTTTATACCTTCATTTGCTTTCAGTAGCTGTAATTTTCGTTAATCTAATTACGCTTGTAGAAAAAACGAAAACTGGATGTACATAATGGATTTCCCTGTAAGAAAATCTTACCGGAGAACCAAACGTCGAGTTCCTTGTTTTACAATCGAAAGGCACACACTTCCAATTCGTCTTCGGACGATTCCACGAATTTTTGTATCGATAAACTAAAAACACGTGCGCTTATACCGACGAAGGATAATCCGCCGCCGGAAATGGCCGATTGGCTGACGCAGTTTCAGGTACGCCGCCCTTTACTCGGTAATTTCCGGCTAATCGAAGCGTTTTGCAGAGGTGGTCGAACGCCGAACGTATACTGGCAATCGACGGACTGATCTTACGTTGCGATCCGAGTCAGGTACGTCACATGATGCAGGTGATCGAACCGCAGTTTCAAAGGGATTTCATATCGCTGTTTCCGCGCGAACTCGCTTTATCCGTCTTACGCCTTCTAGAACCTTGTGATCTATTACGTGCCGCTCAAACTTGTCGCAGTTGGAGATTCCTCGCCGATGACAATCTTTTGTGGAAGGAGAAGTGCAAGCAGGTGGGCATCGAGGAGATTCCGAAACGTAAGGGCTCGCCTCGGTCTCCCAGTAATTCGTCGTCGCCGTGGAAGGTAAGCGGAAACATTAAAGGCTTTGTAAAACTTTTCAAAGATTTTGGACGCTCTGACTTAGAGTTTACAGGGTCTTCTAGTGCATTTCCGGAACTTTTTGGTTTTTTCTGGAACATAAAAATGTTATACAGGCGTGGGTAAGCGCCGATGGAGTTCTAGAAAAGACCTTGATACAAAATTGTCCGTGCGAATTGGGGTTTTTGAAATCTAACCGCGAATGTTCGCTATCTGCATTTCGCCCGCCAAAAAAACCGAAAACGGAACCAAGCGAAGCCGTCCTCTTGTAGACCTCCATATACGCGAAAGCCCCCTCCGATGCGACGATTTTTAGAACTAGCAACATCGCTCTCATCTCCCGACATACTTTCGTTCACGTTTACTATGAAGCGGTCCGAAATTTGAAAATTTTAAAAATGCAAAGCGGCCACCCGTTACAGTACTACTACTGCAAATATTCTGTTTGTAGGCGGCGTTCATGCTACACCACGCCATCGAAATGAACTGGCGCAGCAAACCGATACGGCCACCGAAAATGTTAAAAGGTCACGACGATCACGTAATTACATGCCTTCAATTTTGTGGTAATCGAATCGTCAGCGGCTCCGATGATAATACGCTTAAGGTCTGGTCGGCCACCACGGGAAAGGTTAGTATTTATTTTATATTTGACGTCGGAACGCTTACCTCGGTAATTTCCAGTGCCTACGTACGTTAGTGGGGCACACGGGCGGAGTTTGGTCGTCGCAAATGGCCGGCACCGTTATAATTAGCGGAAGCACCGACCGTACCCTCAAAGTTTGGGATTCGGAGACCGGCGTTTGCATTCACACTTTGTACGGGCACACTTCGACAGTGCGCTGTATGCATTTGCACAAGAACAAGTCTGTTTTAAAGCGTCTCTTTGTTTAGAAATTTAATTTGGCGTTTCAGAGTCGTGAGCGGATCGAGGGATGCCACCCTACGAGTATGGGATATCGAGACCGGCGAATTTTTGCATGTGTTAGTCGGTCATTTGGCTGCCGTTCGGTGCGTGCAGTACGATGGCAAGCTGGTCGTGTCCGGCGCTTACGATTATATGGTGAAAGTGTGGAATCCGGAAAGGGAGGAGTGTCTTCATACACTACAAGGTCACACCAATCGGGTGTACTCATTACAGGTAGTAGTACTAGTCATATAGGGTCGGTTCTGGACTAGTTCAAGGTAATTCGCCACCTGACCTTGGTAAGTAGTCAATGTTAATTTCAAAGGTCACGTGAAGGTGACCTTGGGGAGTAGGTCAAATGAAGGTGACCTTGCGAAGTAGGCCAAGGTGACATTGGGAAGTAGGTCAAGGTCACCTTCACGTGACCTTTGAAAATAACATTGACTACTTACCAAGGTCAGGTGGCGAATTACCTGGAACTGGTCCAGAACCGGCCCTATATGACTAGTGGTAATGACGGAATTCTGTCTCTTTTGTACCGAGGCATTTCATATTTCTAAAATGAAATTTGGAATAAATAGCTTCTCCATTCATCCCCGCTTAACGCTCGGTTAATAATTAATTGAACATGTGTTGGAAAATTTACAGGATGTTTCATTAAAAACAAATGCCAGTGGAAAATCTTAGCAACCTGATATTCATTGTTTTTTCTGATTTTACGAATAGGTTAATCACACATCCAAGTAAGGTATCTATTTTTATTTTGGTATGTTGTTTAGGCTTATACTGGTAATTTATGGAAGCGGCGTGGTGCTTGAAAAGCTTCATTTAACGGTTACAAGTCTTCAGTACCCTCGTACAATCCGGTCGTACTAGACATACGTTCGTTCACGTTCGCTATAAAGCGGTATATGTCTAAATTTTCCTATGTTGAATAAAATTCAAATTCAAAACCAAATTTTTGAGACGGTAAAGCGGGAGACGCACTGTAAAGTGTTTCATTTAAAATCTTGACCTCATTCCAAATTTCACTTGGATTGAACAGATCTCTATGATTACCTAGTAAAAGGTCTGAGGTGTTAGTCGAGTTCCTTGTTGAATTCCTAACCCCAAATGATCACAATTTGGAAGATGAGGGATCGATCTCATCTTCGCTCGGGTGCTATACTGCATGCGTTATAAGAAGGTAGTAGATGGCGCTGTGTTTGAAGATAAACACACACAGGAAAAATATAAAACGGCACAAAATTATTGTAAAAATAAATTACCACCTTACAAAATTCATCAGTTGTTTTATGTTTCATTGTGATACTGACTCATGTTTTAACCAATTACAGTGAAGGTTAATTGTTACGTAACGAGATAAAAACCACTATCGCGACTACGTTAAGTTGTTCTTAAACTTATCTAATAGTGATTTGATCACAAAGACAAACTATAACGAGATCTTAAAACGTTTAATAGCTATTTATATATCAAGTACATAAACTGGGTCTTTATGGACGAGCCGTTTATTTAGCCGAGCGAGGCACAAATAAACAAGGCGAGTCCCCATAAAGCCTATTTATGGACGCGATATATACAAAGCTTTATGTACGACTGCAACAACCCTTAAAAATGAAAATTTCACGGAATTCAATAAACGATAAAATCTATACACGGTGTCCATTCTTCGAGTGCCACTATGGGGATCTCACTTATCTTAAGAGATAGAAAGTTGGTTAAGTGAGGGCAAAGTTGCCAATTTTCGTGCCGAATAAGAATCTGAAATATCTCCAATAGTTTTGAAGATATCGCAAAAAAACGAAAATTTCTGATTTTCGTTTTTAATTTTTTTATGATTATCTAATCGTAGTAGACATTTCTAATTAACACATTATTCTGACACTTTTTAATGGAGATTTCAAATATGGCATCCTGTTTTTAATAACAGTCAAGATGACAGGGAAACACGTGACAACTTTAGTTTTTCTTATGGGCGCCATTTTGAATTTTCACATTTTGAGATTACGTCTTTTTTTCTCTTTACGATATATCACACATGGTGGTTCAGTATCACATGTTTTCTAAAAATACAATTTTTAATTTTTTGAGAAGAGTGCTATGTAAAAAGAAAACGTTCATTTGTTGTGAACAAATGTTTGACAGTTTGATCCATCTGTCTGGTTGCAGCGTTGTCAGAGAAGTAGAAATTCGATTTTCATCTGAACAGAATTGTTCTTTTCAGATTCTTATTCGACACGAAAATTGGCAACTTTGCCCCCATTTAACCAACTTTCTGTCTCTTAAGATAAATAAGATATCCATAGTGGCACTCGAAAAATGGACACCGTGTATATCATTGACAACAGAGGTCAAGCATTTGTCAAGTATTTCTAAAATACTTGAATTGACCTTGGATTGACACCTAAGTACGACTGTCACATTGACAGGTGGCCGCTTTACTTTATCATTATGGACTAGGCCATAATATTGCAAATTATGGCCACTAATTGCGACTGTAATCACCGCATTATCAAGCAGTCGTACATAA